TCTAGAAAAAGTAGAAGCTTTGTTCGAAAAATCGGATTTGTCAGTCGCTAATCAAAAATAATCTGGATTTTCTTCGGAATATTTTTCACTGGGTATATACTGCTTTGAATCTATATTTCATTTTGACTGAATAACACACCCCAAATGCAATAGTGCTGAATAAGACACTTTAATACACTTTGCTAATTAAAAATTTCTACACACTGAATTGTTCTTACCCACACCCTGAAACCTTTACAATTTCACCCATCCGAATATTGATTGAAAAATAAGAAGCCATCTAGATGTCGATGAGCTCTTTTCTTCTTGGAGAAAATCGAATTTATTTCTCATTCAAATAGTGAGAGAGAGAGAAAAACAATGGTTTTTATCCTGTATAAATAATCAGTCAGTCGCTTTTTGCCTTCAGTTGACGACGATCGCATTCTTCTACAAACTAAAGAGACAAAAGTGAGTGTTTGAAACATGGAAAGATGTTACTTATTTTATGGCTAGAATGATTTTCTGCCCTCTGGCATGTGTTTGCTCACTCGACCTATTCTTGTTTATGCCATCAAAAAGAGTCTTCTGCGAGATGGCTTCTTCAGAACATGCATCCTCGCAAAAACATTACGAGGGAATTTTCTGAACTGTCCAATCGCGTTTTTAGATGGAACCAGCTGGGTTATAGACTGTCGACTATGCCGATTTCGAACATGAAAATGAAACACTCTCATAGGCCTTCTCTTCGGAGCCATGAGTATTTCAATACAATGTTAGTCGATGGTGGCTTACATACCAACAAATCGAACGACAATATTTCGGGCAGAGACTTTGCCTACGAATAGGCCCATTTGTGGACAAACTATCTTGAGAATTTCAGCTAAAAAAGCTTACCTTTTTGTCAGCTTAATATCCAAAAAAAGGAGAACATTCTCGGCTTTCGTGTGAGATGAGTTAGTTTTGCGATTATAATATTTTCGGAAGGAAAAGTTCTTTAAGCTGAAATTTTTAGAATATTTCGCTCACTAATGGGTCTGTTCTTAAGGAAGCTTTCATCTCGAAATACTGTTATTCAAGTTACAGGTGTACATCCTACCATTGACTGAAATTGAAGTAAAATGGCCATTACTTTGCAGAGAAGGCCTAAGAACATTTACCATGCCCACATGCGAAATCAGTATAGTCAGTAGCCTTAAACCAAATAGGCTTCATTATAAAAGCCATCAGGCAGTTGAAAATGTTCTCTCGCGATTATGGAGAGAAAAGATGAGTGTCTGTCGATAGACGAATGATTTATGAACTGACTACAATTTTATTAGACAGGATCCTCTCTATCCTTTTAAAACGTGTAGACCAAGATGATATGTTCTGCAAATGTATGCTAGTTATTTGTTCCACTACCTTAAAGGAAAACCATCGGTCGCATTCGGTAGCATATTCATAGCACATGAGAGAAAGGTCACGTCATCCTCTCTAGCGACGAAAAGAAAACAGCTTATTGGTGAGCGTGGGTGTGGAGAGTGCGTGTGCCTGAAGGTGTCAGTGTTGTTCCTTACTTCATGATCAGTCACACCGGCAAACACCAGCTGACATCCATATGCACACCCCATACCCACAGCCACACCCACAGCCACAGCGACACCCACAGCCACAGCCACAGCCACACCCACACCCCACACACCCACACCCACACTCACACCCTTAAAGAGACAAAAGCATCAATCACTTATAGTTATGAGTAAACAAGCAAAAGGAACATCAAAGACCGGCCAATTGAAAGCTCAGCATACACTTGTTGATAGTTCAGATACAAATTATAATCAAGAGCGCAATCACTCCGCTACTGCTTTACCTTCCAACATGAATAATAATTTTAAACGTGGTGCCCATAATCATCATTTCTCAATCGGTGATCGCCGATGCAATGTTCCTCCCCCATCATCACCGTACCGAGGACGTGCTAGTGATGGTCATAACCAACGCAAAACTCGATCGTCTAGTACTAATAATTGGCATCAAGATAGTCGACAGACGGACGTCTCCAATGTGAAAGAAAAACCAACGTCAACAACATTCAATATGCGTCACCGTTCGAATTCGAGAACAAAATTTTCAAAGAGAAGTCAATCTGTTGATAACTTGTCTACGTCATTGCCTTCCATGGAAGATATCAAGCGTGAATTTGAAACCTTATATCAGGTATGTCAAAGTTTTCTAGAAAGAAAAGGACTATGACTGATAATAATATCACTATACTGTTCTTGCTGAATTTTTCAATATAGCAAGTGGCATTTGAAGTTATGGGCCAACATGAGTTACTTATCGCGGAGCAGAGTTCACTGTTGCATAATCCTAAAGAAGATGATAGGACGGGAGCAATGAAACAAAGTCATATTCAACAACTGAACGATCAGTTGGAAACATTTAGAAACGCTTTCTTTATTCTTTCTCTTGATGACTCAATGGCTCCTGAGACAGCTCACAGTATGCTGAACAGGTTGAAACGAGAAATTAAACGACTCAAAAGTCGTTTACCTATCTATGCGCAACGTGACCTGTTGATTGATACAATAATGTCCAATCAGGTGGTAATACTCAAGGCGAGTACTGGGTCCGGCAAAAGTACTCAACTAGTCCAGTACTTGACTGATGCCGGACTGACTGATCGAGGTTTGTTGAATCAATCATTTTTCACTCATAGTGCTATATGTTCTATTACGTTAGGACAAATTATATGCACTCAACCTCGACGTTTGGCTGCACAATTATTGGCAACTCGTGTAGCAGACGATTTCGGGTGTCAATTGGGTAGAGAAGTAGGATAACGCTTTTAACATTGCAATGAACTTGCTCAAATTAAGGCATTGCTTACTTTCAGGTTCGCTCTGACACTAGCGGTAATTGCCATCCGTTTCCACAAAATCGAATCCGTTTCGTGACCGAAGCTGTTCTTTTGAACGAATTTCATGCTGATCCAGTGTTAAGTAAATATTCTGTGGTTATCATCGATGAAGCACACGAGCGGCGTCTCAATACTGATGTAATTTTCGGTATCATGAAATTATGTTTAAGGCAACGTCCAGATATGAAGGTAAGTCATCGATCCGAAAGCTATCAGAGTAAATTTTACTTTTATTCTGAACATGAGCGAAGACAGGAAAAAAGTTCGTGTGCAAAAAATACGCACTCACATTCTTTTTCCTTTTGCCAAACAGTCATAAGATAAGTGCAAATTAATCCACTTATATTACGTCTGTTCCGTTAGCGATTTGATCCATAGAAGCAATAACTCAAGAATGACATTAGCTTCGTTGAAGTAAGGCATTCAATATTTAAACAGAATCGTATCTTTTTTTATAGTTGATTATTATGTCTGCGACAGGGGATAGCAAGTTACTGCAAAAGTATTACAATGGTGCTTGTTTATTTGAATTTTCTGATGAAATGTTCCCGATCGAAGACGAATATGCTCTTGAAGAACCTAAGAAATATGTCGAGGCAGCCGTAAAGAAAGCTCTTGAAATTCATGAGAGTCAAGATCCAGGAGATATTCTGGTGTTTCTTACTGGACCAGATGAAATCGACCGGGCTATCACAGAATTTATAGAAAAAGTTAACCATCGAGATACAATTCGTGTTTTGCCATTGCATGGAAAACTAAGTGAACAAGAAACACAAGCAGTATTTACACCGACGAGTCCTCAAAAACGCAAGATAGTTTTTGCGACGAACATTGCTGAGACTTCGATAACTATTGATGGGATTCAATATGTTATTGATTCAGGCATGGTCAAAGAAATCATGTGGGATTCTGAAAAAAATACCCAGACACTAAAAGTTCGCAACACTACTCAAAGTTCAGTAAAACAACGACGTGGCAGAGCTGGGCGAACCGCACCAGGAAAAGTACGTAGTCATCGGTTCTTTCGCAAATTTCACTGAGCACATCTTACAATGGAAGGGTGTGACCTGTTGAGCGAAAATCTTAGACATATTCGGGTCAAAAGAAAGCTTTCAACGAGAAATTAACAAATTTAAAATATGAGCTGCGTATGGCGTTCCTAGACAAAGATCCTTGAATCTCAAGGTTCGTGAAATTTAGGTATAAAAATGAATCAGGAAAGATTTTCGCCACTAGTATTAGGAC